CCGACCATAAAGATCTTATTCTAAAAGCCTTTGCCATGGAAGATACCAATGTGATTAAAAACTCAAGGTAAAAACTTGTTGATTAACAATATCTCGCCCATAATTGTCTTTGAGAAGCTAAGCCGCCATATTTAACTTTGTTCTTAAAATTTAACTATGCTCCATAGCATAGTTAACTTTTCGCTTGATGCTTCTGTTGTTTTGTCTTTCATAGGGTTTTTACATTTCCAACAAAAATTTGAAAATTCTGGGGTCTCAGACCACATTTACAGCAATACATTTTGAAAAAACTTCCCGAAGCACGCTGTCTGCTATTGCTTCTGTCTAATTTCCGGTTGTATTAACTTCCGTTGTGAAAACATTTGCATTTTGTCAAATTTTGTTTTTGTGCGTAATGTGAGTTTTTGTGCTTGCAATGCGACTTTATTGCTTGCCTTGTGAGAAAAATTGTTTCTGCTGTAAACAATTAGATGCGTTGTTTATTTCTAGTGCTTGTGTTGTGAAATATTTCTTTCATTGTTTATATCTTTTTAAGGTTTGAATAATTTGTTTTGTGTTCCGAAATATTTTAGATTGGTTAAGCTTTCTGGGCCACTGTAATACGAAATTGAATATATTGTGATGTTTTGTCTTAACTCAAGACATCTTCAGACAAGTAATATTTAATAGGATGTTAAGACAAGAATTTATATTTACATAAGGTGTTAAATTACCAAAGGAGGTGGTGTCAAATGGATTACATGATAAGAAAGTTAGGAAGTAATATAAAGTGAATTTAAAAGAGGTTAAGTGGAATGGAACTGCCTTTCACGTTAAGTGAAGGCTTGTATTTGTTGACTAGGAGGCTCTCATAAATGGACAGTTCATAGGAATCACGAGAAGAAGAAATTATTTTAAATTCGTCTAAGTTGGGGGTGTATGCAGCTGCGTTAATGTGAGCAAAAATGCTCGATAACGCAGGGCAGTAAACTTGGTTGCCAGTAAATCGGGGAGTTGATATTACCTAGTGCTCCAGAGGTAGTGCGTCAGAGGTTTGGAAAAATTTTGTCCTTAAAGGAGAAGAAAGAAGAGAAACGTTGGGAAGGGTAGAAAACATATTTATATAAAGGACATTGGCAATACACTTTTGGCATCTGAGTTCTTTTAATCAGATTGTTTAATATACAATAAGAAAGTCTTTAGTAAATGAAATGTTTAAGACGTTCGATTGTTTCCATTTAAATTTCATTTAAAACAGTCACTTTTCATTTGCATTTGGAAAATATGAAAACATTACGTACTGTCTTTTTACAACAGACAAGCCATATTAGCCCAGGTATTCTTTTTTTTTCTTTGATCTTTGTAAGATTGGGAGGCTCTATTCCATAAAAATCGTCGTTCTTTTCCTAAATCTATAATCATTTCCACATTGTAGACTTTGTTTGTTTCATAAGTGAAAAGGCTTTGTGCATTTGGTGTAAATATTAAATCAAGGCTTGCTTGAAACTCTTCTTGGTCGTCCACTTGAAATTTTCATCATTCCTGCTGTCGTCCACCATATTTGTTTACTTGAAACTATGTAAATTTGACTTTGGCTAACGGAAAAGTAGTTTATCTACTTTTTTAGCGACTGGGCGCTCTTGATGTCTTTGTAATGCTCATGCGTATTTCGAATATCGTGCTGTAACAGTCGACCACGCAACATTTTCCACTAAGTGGAAATGAGCCTTAAGTACTACCAATAGCGCGAATTTTGCAAAAAAACATGGTTGTTTCTTTGCTATAAAGACCAATTAGCTTGCACTTTGCAGCAACAATGCACTGATCAGAGCGATACAGAATGCTCTCTGTATAAATAATAAGCACTTTTTACATATCGCATTTACTTTATTTTCTGATTTTATTGTTATTTCTTTTGAATATGGCGCAAATTTTCTTGTCGTTTCTCAATTTATTGTATAGTATATTTAATGTTATTTAAATTTTACATTTTTTTCATGCCTTTTAAATTTTAAAATAATTTTTTTTCGTTTTTGAGGAAAATATTCAAATAATGCTTTTGATATTCAACTTAGAAATTTGATTAAAAAAAGTACATGACTAATAGGGCTCTTGTTTAGTTGCAATAAAAGCACAGAAATCCTCTTGTTTATTACTATTTTGTATTTGAGGCTTCACGTTTAGAAATTGTTGAAACAATTATTACTTACCAATTGTTAACGATCTTGAAACATTTCCGCTCGAAAAAATGTCAAGATCTCTCCAGTGAATTATTTGTTTATGTGGCTCTATAGTACAATCATCTTCTAGTCCCTTGATGGTACATGATGTGTTGCGTGTCACGTCATACTTCCATAAATTTAAATTATTTATTTTACCAACAAACGAAATATTTGGATCAAAAACAGCATTCTCGCACTCAAGTTTTTGACCAATAGCGACAACACCTCCACCGCGTAGTAAAAGTAATGAATTATTGACCATAGTTTCGTTTAAAATCATGGTACCATCAAGAAAAATCCTCTCAGTCATCAGAGTGAGGATGATGACCAGGTGGTGCCAATAACCATCGTAGATTTGATAAATGTGAAGGTTTCTATCAAATAAGAAAGATTCAAATGAGAAATACCACACGAATATTAGCATTGGCTGGTATAAAGAAAAAAATACTATTAACGAATGATTGTAAAATGATTTATAGAAATATGTTAGCAACAAAGTTGAAAAAGCTAATGGAAATTCAAAATTTCATACATTTTTGATGTACGCAGGTCTTGCAACGTCATTCATTTTTAATGTCATTAAGTGCTCAAAAAATAGCAGAGACTAATCGCGTGACTGCTGCATCTCTGGTATATATCACTATTATACTGTTTGATGATGAGCTACCTGTCTTTGAAAGGCATTTGTATTTTTTCACAGTCAAGGAAAGTGTTCAACATGAAACTTACATTGGGAGCATCAATGCAGCAACCAAATCCACTACACAGAGTTTTTATACTGTGTATAAGGGCGACCCAAATGGTGTGTTCTCTATTAATAATAATGGTGTATTAACAACATCCAATAATCTGGATTTTGAGAAACAAAATCCAGATTATTATACTGTGGCCTTGACCTTTCAACGTTGCTTGTTTTACATGTTTCTAGCATGCGTCATGGTTTCGTACAATTTTCTTCAAACGAAAACCAAACGACTATAGGTGATTTTAGTGGTTATTATCATTTAGGAAGTAAACTCGTATTACAATATGCATACTATATTTTTAATGGGTGCACATGAAATGTGCAATGTTGCTATACGAAAATATAGACTAGAAATATGATGATCTTGAAATAAACAAAATCGTTTGAAGAAACTTCATTTCAAATTAAAAATGCAATAACACGAGTTTAGTTAAATATTAGCATCCATAAAAAACATCGCACTAAGATGTTATTCAATTTTCTATCAGTATGCAACATTTTTAACTTTAAATTTTGTTAAAAATGTTTATTTTTTATTATTTCATCTGGTGTTTTTTTATTAGCCTCTTTAATAATAACTTAATAAAGCACCCATGCATTTGTTATTTTATTCTAATATAAGAAATCAAACATTTTCCTATTTTACTTCTCCACCATTTTCTTTCAAAGCAGCAATCTGTTTAAAATCAGAGCGTTGTTCAATTTTTAGTGCATAATGAAGCTTTCACTAAAATATTATCTTATTTTAAAACTTTTCCTTTTCTCATCTTCTTAAATACTGCTACAGCAATTTCTTGTGAAAATTATCCATTTCTTTGTATTTTACGTTTCTTCCACACGTTTCTCTTTTCTTTCATTTTAACATTAAAGTATCTTTTGTAAAGATAATGAAATCACTAGACACCTTTTACACATTTTTTAAAACCACTTGCTTTTTGCTCCATTTTTACTTAATTTAATTGTTAAAATTATACAAGCCTGATTGAGTGAAATTTTACTGTTTTTGTCTTTTTATCTATGTTCCACACTCTAACATCAATCATCTGTTTTATACACATGGATTAAAAATATAACAACATATTCTTCATCTTTTCTTTTCTACTATTAAGTGGCTTTCTCGGTGTTTTACTGTAATTTTCTGCATTTAAAACCATTGTTTAAAATGGCTAATTGGGTAACTGCATGAATTTTTAAGTTTTAGGTTAGAGTCCATAACCCTTTATTATTTTATTTTTAAATGAAACAATATGACAAATTGTGTATATTTACCTCCACTACTACTTCTAAATTGATTCTCTCAACCATTTGCAAAAATATATGAATAATTGTTGGGTCCATCTATTCATTGCGTTGAATATTTCTTTTTTCCACTTTATACCTCCCCTAAGATCATCCATCATTAAACATTCTTAAGAATCAAGACCATTGAATTTTCTCCTAACAGAAGGATGTATTCTGCTGCAAACTAACTAATATTGCATAAAAGACGCAAATGTGCCGTCTTTGTGCTCTACACACTCTTTTCTTAACTCTTGACTTTGGAAATCGAAAAACGAAAATAATTAAAGTTAATACTTTGTTTTTAGTGCATATAATGCTTACATCATATTGTATTAACATTGTTCACTTACTTTATGCGCACGAGGAAAGTAGTGCGTTTTTTTTCCTAGAGGCTCGGAAGAAACATTGACTTAGACTCAAACGATAAAAAAACTTACTATTTTCTGTTGGACGCATAATAAGTGTTTTGTTAAATAAGAACAAAGACCATTTATTGTGATTGCCTTTTAATAAACTCAATGACTTTCGGCGAGATTTGTCCATCAAAATTTTGTTGCGTAATGCAATAAGGCTGACAAACACATTTCTTAACTATTTTTTAATGTTTTCTTAATCCTTGTTTCTTATTAATAGTAATTTTTTTTTACTTACTACAAGTGCAATAAATCTTTTTAGTTTTGGTTTTTTTTATGATATTGAAATTTGCGGGCAGTAATTTGTCACGTTTTTCTTAGGTAGGAAACATCGCATTCATTTCAAATCTTGTAATTAATAATTAGCCAATCACATTTGACAAACATGGTTTTTACAAAACAATGTATAATGATGTATAAATCAATAATGTATAAACGCTGAATCCGAATACAAGTCTGTTGTGCATCTAAAAATATCCTTTACCAAAAGCATACAAATATTTTGCACATTAATTCAAATTTCAAAATTTAGCAGATTGATGAATGTTTAACCGTGGTTTAAACCAATAAAATTAATTGTTCTTACTCTTTTGTCAACGACTTTATTGTAATGATGACCCGTTCTGTGTCAAATCCCACAAAGAATTCGTCAGGACTGTTCTGAACAGCATAAGAAAACAGCGCCATCCTTCGCCTTGAAACTGTGTTTACCCAAAATGCCAATGTCATCTCTGATATATTAGGCATCACATTATCGAGAAGAATCAAGTTCTCGACATGAGCATTGGGAAATACCAAATCGTAACTTTTGTTGAGGGCTTAGATGAATTGAATGAAACATAAGTCAAGTTTATGAATATAAATATAATGTAGCTACGAACTACTTACGCTGTTGCAGTTTGCAGCTTTTGTTGTACATCTAAAAGTTAAACAAAAAAAATTTGAAAAAGATACGATGAAAAGGAAAGTCTAGGTAAATTTTTGGTGAAAGAGTGGTCTTTTTGTTTTAGTTTTTTATTTTTCATGTAATACATAAAACATTTGTAAAATTTTCTTTTTGGGTTAAGCTACTTACTTTTAGTTGCATAAATAAAACACACAAACTTCAAAATTATTTCTTACTTTGATCGGTGTGTTGAAGAAAACATAATCATAAAATCGATTTTGTCTTAAATTTTGTCGGCTGCTGTCATTTAAAACACTGTGTAACATTTCACACAGACCCCAACGTCCTTGGCTTAACCTTCTTCTGTGGTTTAGAGATTGACAACATGGCTCTTTAAAGCATTTTACGATGCATTCTATTTCGTTTTGTACTTCGATTTTTTTAAATACATTCCCTTGAAATCTCCAACCTAAGAAAAAATACCCTGTCATTGTCAGTTTAGTAAAGTTTCCAATAGCTGTAATATTTCGCGCTAGGCCAAGTGCAAACTTCTCATTAAGACATCAAACTTTTTTCTTACCCTTGTATGAAGCATTATAGCAAAAATCAAAACAATTGCTACTACCAAGAACATTAAGCAAGCATAATAATATAGCTGTTAAATTTAAGCATTTGTTCGAGTACAACATTTTGCTATGTTTCTTGTCAAACTGAAAACATAATGCGTGCAATAGTTAAAACTATTTGCTTATTAAATTATTGAAGCAACCAATAATAATCTTTGTTATATAGCAACAAATATTGGTGTAATTTACTCTAAGAGCTAAAATTTATACAGCTGTGCAAATATTGATGTTTCATGAAATATTAACGCTTGAATTTTATTCGAATCCTTTGCTTACAAACAAAAACTAGTGTTTTGTTAACTTATTTTTATCTATATTATGCTCTAAGTATTAATAATATAATGATTCAAGTATTGCACCAAACTTTTGTCTACACTGTTAAACAATATATATATATATGGATGTTATAACTTTATGAACATATTGATCTTCGACAAAGTAAATCAATAATTTAAAGTATTGAACTTTCTTAAAGAATCTATTAATGATTTAAGCTTAAAAGTACTTGCAAATAAGTGTGGTAGTGTCTCTTTTTCAATTATGAAACTTTCTCTTCACATTTGTAACTACAAAGCATTATAGAAAAAGTCGGTACATTTGCTAATAAGAATAGCAAGGAAAATATAATCAAATGATTTTTAATTTAAGCATTTGTTTAAGTACAACATTTTGATATGTTCCTTTCAAATTGAAAAAAATATTGCGAGCCAAAGTTATTCAAACTATTTGGACATGTTGTGTTGCAGAAAACACCTGGTGTTAATTGCTTAACACACAACTGAGATAAAAACTTGCCCTCTAAAGGGTTTACTTTCAACGCGTTCATTTTGAATTTAAAGATTGCATACAAGAAGAGTGCATTCAAAAGAGCCATGCATAAAACCAAAGGATATAAAAAATAAGAAACAGCACAGTCTTTAATCGGAAATTTCATCACTTGTCTTCAAAATCGAAACAAAAAATATTAAAAATGTTTAAATGTTATTATTATATGGCCAGCTTCATTTCCGGCAAAATGGCGCTCTTTGATTGGCTCAGAAACATTGTTGCCGGCCCATTATTTTCCCGTAATCAACCACAGTCAAACTGCGTAATTTGACAGTATATGTACACAAACTTTCTAAAAGCAAAACGCAAATTAAACAAAACAAAAAAGCATTTACGAATGTGATTCGAAGGAAAAACGTTTGGAAAACAGTTTAACTATCCAGACGATACAATGTGAAACGATTTAATTTTTTTGGACGAAAACTATAAAAGTGAAAGCCAACCCGTAAAAAACATCAAGGGTGAAAAAGAAAGCAAGCTTTGTTTCAGATCAAATAATGCCAAATAATAATCCTTCTAAAAACCTCGTTTCTCGATCTTTACTGAGAAATATCGAGCCGAGGTGTTTTCGTACAGACCTCGCCCAATACGCACATTACATAATAATAAATGTATTTTACGTATTTATATAAAAAGAATTCAGTGCGTTTAGCATTTTAAGTTTTTTAAAAATTTTTTAGGACGAATTGCAAATTATCGCTCTGTTTATTATTTATCCTTAATTATATCAATACTTATAATGCCTCTTCGAATGCACCTGTCATTCACAAAACTCTACAGTTAGCTAGTTTTAAGAGATGAAAATTATCATAATTTGTAGTGATTACGAGCCATGTCTATGTGGTGAAAGGATTTTGGATTACTATTATCCCTACTTTAAGGTTAATTCAAAATCAAGCTATATTAGGTTATTGTATATAACATAATCATAATAATAATTAAAATATAATACTAATAATCCTAACTAACTTCGTATCTTAGAAGCGCTTTTGATAAAACGCAATATGCCACAACTTAATATTGGTCTCAAAGCCTGTAAGAAATCATCTCTATTTTAAATGAAGGTATACTCCATAATTGTCGAGTCTTGTAGTTGTCTCAATTACGTATAACTGTTGCTTCCGCTTGTAAATAATTATATAAAAGTTTCGCAGCTTGCTTTGTAAACTTTCAATATGACGATGTCTTTTGAGTAAAGACGAGATATTACACAATCTGTTGTCTAAGACTCTTGTATCATTTTGAATATTAAGAAAACGCGATGTCTGTTTTCGGATACTGTTTTATTTTGTTTTATTTAAAACTGTCTGCATGTCCTGGTTACAGGTTAACTCCAAATAAAGCTATATTAATTTATTACATATAAAAGAGCCTATTAAGAAAGCTCATGTTCAAGTTGTCCATTCTTTTTGGTGCATGTGTTTATATAACAATTACCATACTTGTTGGGATGATTGAATGATTTCTATCATATTTCTTCCGGAATGTTATGTAATATGTGTCCTTTGGTACAATAGAAACCATTTAAAAATATCCACTTGTGAAAACACTCAAAGTGTCTTGTCTAAATTATAATATGAAAATAAAAGGTAAAGCCATTTATCAGCTTTTTCTTTTTAATATTATATAAGAGTCTGAAATAGACATAAAACGACTAACTGAGTTTGAAATATAACTTCTAAACTAATTCTAATTCAAAATATATCACTGTTTCTTGCTATATTTGAAAAAATTCTGTTCAACAACTTAAATTACATGAACATTATATTTTTCACGTTTTTCAGATGAAAGATACAAATCTAAATTATTGACAAGACAATTCATGTTTACTTTTTAAGCTTTTCTCAAATTTTTTTTTGTTGACTTGTCTCAAAATGTACCCAATTGTCTACAGTTTTCCACCAGCTGGTATTTTGATATGTGATTCTTTGTCTTTTATATACTTTATTTGACGAGCAGCAATCTAGCTATCTTGAGTTTATAAATTCCATCACACTTTGAACTGGTCAATTGGTTGTGCATGATTAATTCATAAATTTGTAATTGGATTTACAAGTTGACCATCCTTGTTTGTTAACTGAACGCCATGAAGATTCTTCTTGCAATCCAGTGGTTCGCAGATTGCTAAAACGGAAAATTGCCTTAACTTTTGTTGTGTGCTTAAAAGGTAAGAATAAACTATGTAAAACTTATGTCAGTTTCATAAACATCTAGCATCATAAATCTTCAGTAAAGTTATATTCTTTTGAATGAAAAGCTGCATGTTATTGTACTTCTAAAATGGAGGAAAATTTTTGAGTTAACGAACAAAAACTATTTGATTTTAATAGGTTGAACTAAATGTTTTTAGACTTAAGGCTACAAGACGTGTTTTTAAATGTGTATCATTGCGTGAAGTAATCTGTTTTTAAAATAATTCCTTCATACATCATCTTACATGAAATTCCTGAAAAATTTCTGATAACTAGGAGTGTTTTTTTATCATACAGCTAAGAAAAATTAAGTTTGCAACAACGGGATTGTTACAATAGTTTAAAGAAGTATGCTATGCATACAGAATGAGGACTGATATTAAAAACATTCTTCACAAGTCTTTTCCAATAAGGCGGATGAGATAAATACGTACTTCATTTTCTGCATATGTCGACAAGTAGCGTTGCAGGCTTGCAGATTTACTCTCGGCTAATGTAAATTTTAAACAATTGCGTTATTCATTTCTTTCTAAATCTATTGCTTTCAGGCTCAATAAAATCGGATTGTTATTAACCGTTGTTTTTAACGGTTCTTTTTAACACGTTTATCAGTTATCATTCAATATACAAAATTTGTTTGATTTCGTTTGTAGAGGTTGTATTACGAAAAGAGGTAATACCCAAGTACTGTGCTTGAGCACGGGGATGGATGTAAACGACGATACCATAGAAAAATCGACACCTATTTAACACATGGTTTTAAAAATTGTTCACAATGAAACACATGAAATTATAAATCGACGAAGCTAGTGGGTACTATGTAGTGTTCAGGGCTTGCAGATTTCTGCCCGAATCAGGATATCGTACTCCGGCAATCAGTCTAAACGCGGTATAACTAATCAATCTAACGTCAACAAAAAATGAAGGTAGAACATAAGTGAGACATAAAATACTGTTAAACATCCATACTTATCAAACGTAAGTATTTGTTAAAGCGGATTTTTACAATTTTACACTTTACAAAGCAAGAAATATTGAAAAGGGGGCAATTTTTCCCTTTCCCCTCCGTTCTCTGCAGCTCCTGTGCAATGTTCTCAAGAAATCTTTAGAAGTTCGAGCCACTTAAGTCTTTGCTATTTTGAATGAAAACCATTTTTTTAATTAGAATGGTTTTCAAGAAATTTTGGTTTGGTACTTTAAACTTAAAAAGCTAATACAATCATGTATATCTTTAAAAGCGTAAAATGCGCACTTGGTTTGCATGGTAAACTACTACCCTATAAGTATAATCACAAGATTAAATAGTTGGATTGTTATTAAACAAAAGAATGATAGCATATTGCTATAACCAACAACTACAAACAATAACGACCTTGTCTAACAACATTTGAGAAATTAACGTTCCAGTCCTCTTCCTTGTAAACGAGACAAGTCTATTCAAAAGCTCTCTGCTTTATTAAGGCTCTTGGCTTTTGAATAGACTTGTCTCGTTTACAAGGAAGAGGATTGGAAGGTTAATTTCTCAAACGTTGTTAGATAAGGTCAGTGCTGTAGAATTAAATTCATCAGAGGGGGGGCTCTCTTGACGTTTTTGCTAATAGTGCCCCTTTAAAATTACCAATTTCAAAAGTAGAAGGGGGCTCCTTCCCCAAGCGCTCCCCCCCCAATTTCTACACCACTGGATATGGTCGTTATTGTTTGTAGTTGTTGTTGAAAGCATTATGCTATCGTTTTTTTTACCCAATAAGTATTGATATAATAACTTATTATATAAGGAGATGGAATGTACATTTTATAAGACAACCACATTTTGGTGCAAACTTTATTACCACAACACCCATTGCTATTGGCAAAT